CCTAACACTAACCCTAACCCTAACCATAGTAGCGGTAGGGTTAGAGGTAGGGGTAGGGTTAGATTCCTGTCATCATTCCCTTAATTTCCCCTACCTCTCCTGTTTTGACACTTTTCAGAAATCCAAAGCACTTCGGCACTTCCGAAATTCGGCACTTAAGCAATTCAGTTTGGTTCGGTAATTCTGAAGTTCAGCACATTGAAAATTCATCTGAATTTATATTCGGAACAAAACGAATTGCACAGGTCTACTTTTTGATTCTCTAGTAAATTCTCAACAATTCACAATGTATTGAATCAACTCTTGAGTCCTTTTGTGCCAGTCTTTTGTGTTATATAAAAAAATAGTAAATAAAAAATAAAATTATTTCTGGAGAATAATTTTTTAATTCAGCCACGCAAAGCTTACCCAGTGAAACATGACCAGCACTGCCATTTCCTTTGGATATCCTCCACTGGTAGATACAGTATACTTTACAGAGAGATACTGTGTTATAATACAATAATACAATAATATACAACACAAAGAGATACTATTGTGAATCTTATTAAGAAAGTCAGTGTCAGTACAAACTTAAATAATTTAATAAATGCAATAAAATTAGTAATTTATTTATTTTAAGTTTACATAATTCAAAGATGTTGTTACGGCTCCCCCGGTATGCGAGGTGATACAGCCGTATGAGACGTTCCCTTACTGAATGCGAAGGCAGCCACTGTGTGTTACAAAGCATTGAACAGTAGCTGTACGGATGCAGCAGTTCCCTAGTAACCGAACAGCCAGTATACGAATGCAATATTCCTCCCAAACAGCCGAACAGCCACCATACGAATCAAGTATTCCTCCAAACAGCCGAACACGCTTACTCCATACGAATAATCCCCCCAAAGACGAGACACAGCTCCGTATTGAGGATCAGCAGGAATCTGTTTAATGAGGGCTACATGCCCGGCTTTTATGCAAGTCCCTCACCCGGTGGACACTCCCCTCGGGGACCGAATGGGGGACTGTGACAAGGACAATACATTAGCCTATCACAGAAGACACAATAAGCCATTCCTCTTTTCTTGCCCAGAACCCCCTGCTCTGCCCGGGAAGATAATTGTGAAGTTATTCAATTATCTCCCCGGACAGAGCCTAAACGCCATTTTGAGTACTAAAAACACAAGTACATAAAAACACTTAAAATTCTATAACTGTTACATTTTACACATTTTTATAGGCATTCCACAGGTCCCCAGATAGCTAGGATCTGAGTGCACCAAAGTACCGAATAGCGCTCAGATCCTATACTCACAGTCGCCGTGGAGCCAAAGTGTTCACACAGTCAGTTTTCATACGAATGGGCTCCACGGGATTCCTATCTGGGGTACGGTGTATTCTGTTTAAATCCACCGAATATAGAGTAATTCGTGCCAATCTACCGAACAAGAAGGGAGGTCGGCGGCTTCAGCGGTGTTCGTGCCAAAATGTGTCCGTTTTTAGTTCCATGAGATAGGCGTCGAAACACCGCTGTGCGTTCGTGTGTTTTAAAATGGCCGTGACCTCGTGTTCAACATTTGAATGGCGGCCACCCAACTGCTATATCAATTACGAGGTGTCTGCGGTTAATCCTCAACGTTCGAATGGGGCCAAGAGGTTAATCAGCAGCACACTCCTCTACTGGGTGGCCGGCCGTTCGGTAGTTTGCCGGTTATAAACAGGGGAATGCCATAGAGTCCACAGGAACGAGAAAAACGAATTAAATAAACAAACAAGCCATACGGTTATTTTAGTCTAAGACAGAGGGATCTGTCACAGATGTATTTAATATATCTTATATAAGTTTATTTTATATTTTATATTTTTTCTTATCGATAGGGGCATGTTGTGCCCTCTGTTTATAAAACCTTCAATGATGCACAATACCCATCTTTTCCCCCAATCACTGGTGGCTTAGCCATTCTATTAATAGCTTTTCATTAATAGATGACTTCTAAGTGCTCCTTCTTTCACACAAGGTGGTTTTGTCATCTTCATCAATACCTGCTACCTAGCGGTGTAGCTTATATCTGGATGTGTCCACATGCATCACATTCATTGTAACCTCAAATAATTAAAACCTCACTGCATAATAGTGAGGTATGTTGTCTAATTTTTGGATTATGGTTATAGTGGCTTGATAGCTAAATTGCTTGAATGATTATTATGAATAATGTGTATTTTTTATATATATCTTTTTCCAGGAATTGACACTTTTTTGAAGGACTTTAAGTATTAAGTAATTGTCTTAAGTCGCCTTTAGACAATTACATCCAGCTTTTTCAACCATCTTTCATGTAAAATTTAGATAAAAGAATGACCTTTGTGGATACCTCAATATATGCAAGCCACATAATCTTTATAATATTTGTAAATAATAGCTTTACTTAGTTTGCAAGTTACACAGTGCTGGGCATTGTCCAATCATATGCTTCTCATTGAGGCGACACTTCCAGTACAAAGTGTATAAAATAGATTGGTAGTTTTATTGATATTTGGGACTAATGTAAACAAATATAATACTCTAGCCCCTTAAGAACGGAAGCAATCAAACTGATCAAAACAAAACCTAAAATTTGAGCTATATGTCTGCTCAACCATAATTTACTTCTTTCATATTATGTGCACCCACACATATATATATAATTTCATTCCAGAAAAATAGGACTTTCATTTCACATCAGAAATTTATATATGAAACATAATTTAAGATAAATAAATTCTGATAAAGTTTGAGAAATTAAGAAGTTATTTTCCAAGTTCTGCATAGCATTTTAACTGTGAACATCCTAATACGGTTAGCTTTTACTGCACTAAAATACATATATTTGTATTCAGCAATGTCTCACGAGTACAACAGTACCACCGTGTACAGATTTTGTGGCGTTTTGGAAAGTTACAAGGTCAAATATAGGGCTTTTCCCTTTTCAGTTTTTACACATTGAAATTTGCCAGATTGGTTTGCTCAGCTTATGTTGCCATTGAGAACGTTTGGCAGCCCGGGAATGAAGATTAACCCCATTATGGTATACCATTTGCAAATCAAAAGTAGACAACAAAGGGTATTCAAAATGGGGTATGCACAGTTATTGTTAGTAGCCACTTAGCCACAAACCTTGGCCAAATTAGTCTTCATTTTATTTTATTTTTTTAAGTTTTCACAAAAAAACTGCCTTTTCACTGATGATATCAACATTATAAATTTTACTGCTCTAAAATACTTGTATTTGTATTCAGCAATGTCTGATGAGTACAACAGTATCAGGCGTTCATGTAGTTTGACCGGCGCTCTGGAAGTCGAGTGTATGATTTTGGTTCCAGACACTCGATGACCAAGTACCGCTGCCTTCTTTCATGCAAACAATATGGCCGCCGTTTTCTCTTGCACGTGGCATTCGGCTATACGAATGGCGGCCACACAGAGAGAGCACTTAATTGGCTGTTTGCTTTGAAGTGAATGAGCCGGGGAGTGGTCGGTGTTCAGTAGTTTTATCTAACGAACAGGGAAAAACAAAAGTAACAAAATAATCAGGGGTAGTTTCTTCACAATCATCACCATACATTTTACTGTTTTAAAACACTCATATTTGTGTTAATTTTAGTTATCTGAGTACAGCAGTATATTTATATATATATTTATATATAATTTAATTCTAAGTGTATCTCAACATTAATATATGTATATTGATAACAAAATACACTAAGAATGAAATTATAAAAATTCCACTATAACAGCATTTAAGCCTACAAAGTGCAAGGCACCATAGTATGCCATAACGCCGTGTAGCTGCTAGTACTGGATTAGTTCAAGAGTATACATATATATATACATATTTTTTTAATGTCCACTAATATGGTGATTTGCTATATAATGCTATTCTGGACTAACTATTCTTATCAGGTTAAGCCAAACATTCGATGAGGTTGATTGAATTTAGCTTGCACATAAACTGATTAGCAAGTGATTGTAAATAATGCCATTATCCCTTGGAAATAAATGGTTAAACATGTTTTGTGAATGTTGCACATTTATTATACTTCCCTTGAAAACATTTTTTGAGATGATACACAAGAGACTGTACAGTCACCAATAAATTATATTAATTTAATTTAATAATAACCTATGTCCATAATGTGTTTTACGCACATTTGCTAATCTCCATATTATCAAATATCAAAATGGTTTAAGTTTAACCCCTTAAGGACTGAGCCAATTTTACAAGTTGGGATCAAATCAAAACGTGAACAAAACAAAATCAGAAACACTGGCCAAAGTTAGCGTTCATATTTGTTTGAGTGCGTAAAATGCAAAAAAACTAAATTGAACGCTAATTTTGGCCAGTGTTTGTAACTAAGTGGCTACTCAAAAGGCTGGACATACCCCATTTGTAATACCTTGGGTTGTCTACTTTTGCAAATGGTATGCCATCATGGGAGTAATTCTCATTCCTGGGCTACCATACAGTCTCAGAAGCAACATAACCATCCGGGCAAATTTCAATGTGAAAAAATGGAAACTCAAACCTTATATTTGGCTCAGTAACTTTTGAAAACACCATAAAGCCTGTACAGGTTTACTCGGGAGACTTTGACAAAGACAAATAGTGTTTTAAAATAGAAAAACATATCAACAATTATATCATGGAAATACTGTTTGTGTGAAAAGTGCAAAAAAATGAATTTTTACTGACGATATCATCGTTGTGATATGTTTTACTGTTTTTAAACACTAACTGTTGTTTCAGCGAAATCTCCCGAGTAAAACAGTACCCCCCATGTACAGGTTTTATGTGTCAGTGTGGCGGTCCAGTGACCGGGACCCAGTATGCCTGATGTTGAAAGTACGAGTCACAGTGTGGAAGTGGATTAGCAGGGTCTGGTGCAGGGTAACCGCACGCCCCCTGGTGTTGAGCACCAGCGTTTGTGCGGCCACATACCAGGACCCTGATGCAGCTTCAGCAGATCCCAGGAACTAGGAGCTTGGAAATAAGCAGACCTCCCAGGAGTTGAATAGGGAGGCTCTGCAGCAGGAATGTATCCAGTACAGAAACAAGGCAAGGCTAGAACAGACACCAAACATGAAAACAAGACAGAACTAGCAGAACCCAGAACCAGAGAAGGATAGGAAGCTAAACCCAGAACAAGTACACAATACATAAGGGAAACATTAACATAACATGGGCAGGACAAGACAGGACTGTACATGGACTGAGAATACAAAATAAAACAAGACAAGATATAATAGGCAAAACAAGAGGAGAAATAACTAAGTTCTATATGTGAAAAATTATGGGGATTTAGTTACATTGCAAGCCTGCCACAACCCCAATGTACCCCATATTTGGAAGGTCCTACTCTAACTGCCTAATGTCTGCTAAATGAACCATAATAAAGCACATACAGCACTTACCTGCAAGAAAAGGCAGAGAACTTGAGCAACTGCCTGCAGGGACCAACTGAAACAAAAGGAATCATTGGAAAGGAACAGGTCTGGCAACATACACATTTAAAGGAATCCAAGAGACTGGGAATTCCAGGAATGGAATACAGGAATGAACCCAGAAAACCGAACATAAAGAAAACCAGACAGAATAGAAAACCAGAAAAATCAAGAAAAACTAAACAAGAATTGTAAAAAGAGTTCTGGATACCAGAAGCCATAGCCAGAATGACCTGCAACTAGGAACAGGATGTGACATTATGGTGTCCTAGAAAGTTACAGGGTTAAATATAGGGTTTGCGAGCCAAATTCTCTGGACATTCAGCCTGGGTTTGTTGGGCAGGTCCCTCAAATTGTAATTAATAAAAGGACTTGATTATGTAAAAATATTATGTAAATTATATGTATATATATATATATATATATATATATAATGTAAATAAATTCTTATTATTCTACATAAAAGCCCTGAGAGTGCATCTCTTCATTCATCTATTTATATTCACAACGCGGGATTGCACCCAGGCTAATATCATTGTGATTACTCTGGAGAAAGGGTGAGTGCCAAGTTACCTATTTTTTGTGTATATATATGTTACGGTACCTCCAGTAATAAATGCACAAACCGCCGTTTAGTGAATGCTCCCCGTTCGCAATAATGTGGTCTGGTAGCGTATGCAGTATAACCATGCGAACTGCCAGCCAGGGAACACTCCAACCTCCCGAACGGTACCTGTACGGATCCTTCCCTTCACGAGCTCCAAGTGCATGAACCGCCAATAGCAGCCAAACGGCAATAGTTTCCAAGCGGCAAATAATCCCAATAAGCAGTCTCTAGTCGCCGGTAATAAAATCCCCCCAATAACCAGACCAAGCTCTGCTTTGAGGGTAAAACACGAACTGAGTTTACTGTGGGCTACCTGCCCGTATTTATGCAGGTCTCCCACTTGGTGGACACTCCCCTAGGGGACCAAATGGGAGACTGGAATAACAGAAGGACATGGGGACATTTCAGACATACATCCCCACAATATTCCCAGCATGCAACACAGTTTCCTCCCCTCTGCTCGGGAGATAATTGAGAAGTAATTCAATTATCTCCCAGAGCAGAGGCAAATCGCCATTTTAAATCAGTTACAAAACACATTAAAATACATAACTTTATAACTGTCGAACGTATTGCATTCGTATAACACATCCCCAGATAGCCTGGATCTGAGTGCATATTATGATCCCACACACATAGTTCAATCGCCATGGAGTCAAAGTCTATTACAGTTCTTCAGTATGCGATTGACTCCATGGGAAGGCTATCTGGGGTAAGTCCATTCGTGCCTTTAAATCTCTCGAACGGCCGGTATTCGTATACTTTTGTCGATTGAGAAGGGGAGGTCGACGGCTTCAGCGGTGTTCGGTTGAAAAAGTGTCAGTTTTTAGTTCCATGGAATAACCGTCGAACACCGCTGGGCTTTTGCATAGTTAAAATGGCCGCCGCCTCGTGGTCGACATACGAACGACGACCACCCTGTATTCGGTTTTAATTTAGAAGTGTCTGTGGTTAACCGCAACGTTCTAATTGGGATCAATAGGTTAAGCAGCAGCACACTTCTCTTCTGGGTGGCCGTCCGTTCGGTAGTTCCGTTCGACAAAAAAATACATTCCCTTAAACAAGGCATACGAATGGGGAAATTCATACAGACGGCAAAACAGACGAACACAGCAATTCTAGTTCATACAGATGGGTCTGTCACAATATATATATATTATATATATATATATATATATATATATATATATATAAACACACCTTTTTAAATAGTTTTAACTTATATATAGCTATATATATATATATATATATATATATATACACACACATATGTATTTATAACGTCATTCTAAATGTATTTATAATTTATTATATATGTATATTAATATCAAAATACAGTTAGAACAAATTAAAACTGGTATTTAATTTTTTTCAATTTTTTCTTTTTTTAATTTTATAATTTTTTTCAATTTATTTTATTTAATTGATTATTTTTATTTTATATATATATATATATATATATATATAAAAGTAACTTAATTTCACATGTATTTTAATATTAATATATATATATATATATATATATATATATATAATTTTATTAATGGTTTATGTATGTGTTTGTGCATATAAAAGTACTTGGATCATATATATATATATATATATATATATATAAAATATATATATATGATCCAAGTACTTTTATTTACGTTATTAAACGTTTTATTAACTTTTGTTAACTTTAAAACTTTTTTGCAGGCGTTAGGGGGACTGCCTGAGAGCTCAGGCAGTCCCCCTGCAGGCACTGCATAAGCCGGCTATTCTGGCCATGTGATCACAAGGACCCTGCGATCACATGGCCGGATTGGGCAGAGAGGGTCTGCCAGAGCTCCCAGACAGACCCCAAGATCATGATCGCCGTCGGGGGAAAGGCGGGGACCCGGTAAGTACAAAGGACAGCGGGGACGTTCTATGCCGCCCTCCGGCGTTTTGGACCGCCCCAAAAAGGACGGCATAGAACGCCAGTCATCCTTAAGGGGTTAATTACAATTTATAATATATCTACTCTTCTGATATACTATTATATAGCATTTTAGATGTTTTTTTATAAATAGTATCTGTATTTATGTTTATTTCATTTTATGTGTTTATTTTGGTCTCTTTCTTTGGCATATGATCAACCAATAAACACATGTTTATTAATGCAAACATTTCTATTCACCCTTGAATTAATCGATTTCTTTTTGAACTCTGTGCATTAATATTTCTTTAAGAAAATACAGGTTTACTCATGTCATCACATAATACTCATTCTATATTTACTTTGGGAAATGTAATCTCCGGTGAATCTTATGCCATTTGTAAATTTTACAGAAATGTTACTCTAAATTGTTCCCTGTCTGAATGTTCTGGATATATTATTCTTTGTATAATGGTTGACTGTCGAACTTCTATTTTCTAAGTTGCTCAATCAAAATAAAGAAATAAATAAAAATTTAAAAAATCTGTCAGCACAGTCTATTTATATCCAGTGTCCTATTTTCATAACACTTCTTCCCTAGTATTTTGTTAAGAAACATATTTTCACCAAGTTTGTGCATGATAATTGCTGTTATTGTGCCCACAATAAAAATATTTCTAAAAATATTTTATTGTGACGATACAATCACAATAAGCAATATCCTATGTTAAAATTATATTATGTATTGAAAGAGTCTAAAGGTACAGTAAGCTTCCGTTAGCTGAGGTAAAATGAACTATTAAATCTGTAATTGAAGCTTCCCAGGACCGAGCGTACTGACCCATACCATCTAGTGGTCTGGCCACCATGCAGGGACATTGCTGCATTACAATAATACTTGGGCCTTGAGCAAAAGCAAAGTTAGTGTCTGCTGTTTAAATGCTGGCTTTATACAGTGCTTATCCCTGCTGTCATTAGCTATTTCTGCAAGTATGCAAACCTGAGACAAGTGGTTCTTTTTTCATAGGTCTCTCGTAACTCAGTGAATTTCACTGTGACAACAAGAAATATTGCTTGTGCTACCATGTTGAAATGTATTACTACTAGGGTTGAGTCACAAAAAGACCCATACAGGAAAAAGCAGCAAGCCACTAACACTCACATTAACCTTTCCCATTCCTGTCACTCACACCCTCTGTAACCATACCACACCCACCTGCCCTCGTACTGCCACAATCACTGTACCATATTACCCAAATCAAATCCTGTCACACTCACCTTCTCTCACACGGCTATACTCACCCTGTCACTCACCTCACTTCCACCAACTGTACCACATTCAAATCAATCTTGGAATATTAAACCACCCAACCATGTCACAATCATCCATTCACATTAACTCCCTGTATCCTGTTCACACTCCCTCCTCCAACCATGTCACACTCATCTACCAACCCTGCATTATTCATCCACCTCGGCCTGCTACAATTACCCCTTAACTCACTCTGTCACAGTCACCCTTTGAAGACAGTCATTATACACACACACAGTCATGAAACATGGTTTCACCATAAACACAATGCACAAAGGCCACAGGCAACCCCCCATACACACAGCACACCGCAAGCAGCTACCCCACACACATACAGTCCCAGGCACAAACATACACATGCTCACAGAGATATACATTCACACACAAAGATACTCACGGTCTGACACACACTCTCAGGCACATACATACGTAGACAATGACAGACACATCCAGAAATACACACCCAGATACACATTGCAACTGTATGTCTGTATTTGTCAATGTGTGTGTCTCTGGGCATCAGTGTGTTTGTGTATGTATGCAAGTGTATCAGAGTGTGTATATATGTTTGTGAATTATTGTGTATATGTGTGCCTGTAACAGTGTGCATATGTGTTCATGTATTAGTGTGTCCATGTCTGCAATGTGAGGGTGGTATGGTATGGGCATTGCAAAGTTAAAGTGGCAACATATATAACATATGTAATATACATAGATATACAATAGATGGATAATGGGGCAGGGCTTGGTCACCATGCAGTGATGAAGCACAGGGGTGCAGCTCCTTTGAACTGACCTGGTTTTCTTCATATTTAACCAAAGATTGACGTTTTCAAAACCTTTCTCCAGGCATCTTTGTTTTGGGAACCTTTTGTGAACATAACAATATAATTTCAGCAGACCTAACTTACTTTCTTGCAGCACTGCACAGCTGG